GCTTTGAAATTGGATATTTTCAGGAAAAATATTTTAGAAGTCATGGAAATCATGCTAGATGAATACTAATATAATTATTATTTTTGTCAAATATTATGTAATGCTATAAATTATAAAATCTAATGATTTCTAAGCTGCTGTCTGTGTAAAGGTTGAAAAAGGAAAAACATTTGGCATGAAGAAAGGTGGAATACTCATTGAATACCATTCACTGTGAGGCACTGTTTCTAAATTGTAATTCTCAATATTGTAACAACATCTGTGCTTTTCTATGCAAACATATTTAGCTCTCTAAAATGTGACAGAAGTGATGTGTTGATATATGTTTCAATGGTAAACTGGATATATTTTTTCTAGATTTCTAACCGTTCCGGAAGTTAAGAAAATACAGCCATTATATCAGAAAGTTAATTCTAAAGCATTTTAGGACTTTAATATGTATCACTACAATCATTTTAGAATACTTCGATCAAGTTAAGCTGTTTCTCTTGCTGAAAATCAGAAAAATCTACAATCCTATACACGCTTACTTGCATGAAAATAATACTGAAATCAACAGATCTTATTCCAGAATAGGCACATAAAGGAATGTAATTCTATGAAAGTATGTATAGGTCAACACAAGAAAAATACATTTTAAGGGAGGGAGATATTAAAATAATATGGACAATTCCTTAAAAATATGTGTCCTGTTAATATTCCTGACGTGGCTAATTTAATCCTCATAATTTCCTCCATAAATGCTGTGGCACATTGAAGATATTATGAGAGGGCTAAAGGTTTATATTTATATGGTCATCCTGGACATATTTCCTTGGAGAATGCACCTCTTTACAGGTAAATTTTGCTGAATCAATGGGCTTACATTCAAAAACTATATTTTAAAATCATCCTCAAGAACTGTACTCCTAGTGAAATATTACAATGGTCCTTTATATGGTATTAAATACCATTTCCACATAGAAGGGAAACAATAATTGGCTATCTAACTGAAAATAATAATTTTCTATTTTAACAAAGACACTTAATGATAAAAACTCAAATAAGAAAAATAGTAACAGATTCCACAGAAGATGTCAAATTATAGAATCATCACCATTTTTTCCAGAAGCCAATATGAAGAATGACATATTCTACCTTCCTTTCCTATGTTGCTTAGGAAAATGTAACAATGGTTTTGTACAATGGCCTACCTTGACCTTTTGTTGCTGTAAATATACTTAATATAAAGTGACAGCTCAGTTTGTTCTTTCTTTATTTAAAAAGAACTAGTTTGAAGGAGACAAGTTTTAAACAGTGAGATTTCAAGCTAGCTTTTCTGTATACTGTATACATTGTACAATACATTTCCCTTTTCTAGTCAGGAGGAACAAAACTCAACCTTGCAAATGTCACATCATATAGCATATATAAAAACAACCTGTAGACGCTGGTCTTTTAAACACAAAATAACTGTGCTTTAAACATTTGTAACTGAACTTATTGAAAACAGTTTTTCATCTCTACCTGAGTATATTTGTACAATTTATGAACATTCCCACCTTGGTTTTTTTTATAGTGGCTATCATTTTCAAGTGGAGATTTTACTTCACAGACAAGATTTTCATTAAAAAAAACCTAAGCAAAATAAATTCTCCTTGTAATCAAACTGGTTAATTAAGATTTTAAAGCATATGCTCAGAAGCCAACTTTCAAATCAAAGGCACAAAAATGATCAATGGTACAAAAATAAACTGTATTTGAAACGTTTTCTTCTCTTACAGGAGCATAACAAATTGATCAGCAATCCTGAAGGTGCTTTATTCCATATTTTATGAAATTATTAGATAAGGTAGCCATTTTTTTTTTTTTAAAAAAATAACATTATTACTTTTTTTCTAATTCTTTTTCAGCAAAGGGAAGGTAGTTAAGACTTAATTCCTACTTAATAGAGTAGCTTTGTTGATTCAATGTCAGCACACACAGATTCAGGAGAGCTTTTAAAATATATCTTGGCCCTGAAAGTTTGCAACTCCATTTTTAATCAACAGTTCCTGCTTATCTTTAAATAATTTGTGCATTAATCATTTTAAAGATTGAAAGAAAAAACTAAGACTGCAATTCTAAGCAGACACAAATGCAACTAATATTAAAATAGAAAGGACTGCCACAGTTAACAATAAAGTGTTTATACTGTAGTATGAGAAATATTTATTCCTCTTGAATATATTAATCAAAAAGGAGTGTTTTTTTTAAAGGAGTGATAGCAGAATATGTAAACTTTGGAACAACTTCAACACCAAATTCTTATTGTATTTTCCTTCAAATAATATCAAGCAGCTTAAAATCAATTTAATTGGGGAAGGGAAGGGTTGTAAAATAAAGCTGCATAGAGAAAATATTTTAGAAATAACGTACAGAGCAATGTGCTAAATACTGCATCAGTTATATCAGATGGCATTAGCATGTATTATGGCTAATGAGACTAATGAACAGAGTAATGTCTTAGAATGTTTTAAGTGCTGCATTTAAATAACTAATTGTTTAGGTCAATACTGTCAATGACAGGACTTCTGTCACTGGAATACTGCTCTTTGCTTATGCACTATAGGTACAGATCAAAAACTATTTTTATACATTCACACAGAAAATGGAACCTATTTATAGTATTTTATATTTTTATATACATAACTTTAGAAAAATAACATTCATATAGCCAATGAAAAAGGGGGAGGGTTGTTCAGGCCAATTTCTTTTAACATCTTCCCACAAATATAAGCAGTTTTATTGGCCATAAAATCCTGAAGGCATATAAATTATTCCTCTTTAGAGAAGCTATTGGAAATAAGCATATGCACAATCAACACAATTCCCAATGTAAAGTAATTTTGAAAGACAGCTGAAGAACATCAATTTTTTTTCTCAAAGCTGTCAGACTAAAACATACTTGAAGTATGTAGCCTTCAGTCAATGAAAATAATTCAGAGAATGAATTCAAGGTTCCAAATTGTGTATACTGGAGATATTTAGAGGGCTGGCTTAAAAAAATACGTACCATGGTCAATAGGATAACTCTAACTTCCTTATCAGAACTCAACAGATAACTTTGGTGAGAGTTTTTATTCCACCAGACATCACCATTATACTGAATTGAATGTTTAAACAGGCTTTTCATTAAAGCCATTCCTGCCAATATAATATTTTAACTTCAATCAAACCCTGTCAAAGATTGCTAAATAAAATCAGGATTGACACTTTTAAGTCTACTATTAATTTAGTTGCCTCCCAAACTTATTCAGTAGTCTTGATTCATAATCCAACTTTCCCAAACTTCAAACATTATCTCTTCACCCACTATGTGTCATTAGGACATGTGAATCATGCTGGTCACTTGCTCTTATTTAATTAATAATCTCCCTCTATCTAGCCAGGACCAGAGAGAGGAAATAACTTCTAGCTTTTTTAACCTATAGCATATGATTAAATCCAGCAGCAGAAATAGATCAACTTTCCTTTCCTAAGCACAGGTTATGTATGAATTCCTTTAAAAAAAGGAAAATTAGGTAGCAGAGCGAAAAAGGCCAGTTTTGGAAGACAAGCAAACTATCTGCATCATTCCGAGGTTCAATATGAATTGGCCAGCTATGGTCAAAGGAAGAAAGCGGCAGGACAGGAAGAAAAATCAAAACCGGAAAGATCAATCTGAGCATTTGCAAAATACACAGAAGGGAATCTGAAAGGCAGACTGCAGGATTCTGCTGGCAGCGCCCACCGGAGGGAAAGGCGACAGTGTCCTAGATGGAAGAGTGAAGAGTGACTGTGGGAGGCCAGTTTGTCAAGACCTCTGGGCCAAAAGAAGGAGGGAGGGCAGACCTAATCTCCTCAGGACATTCCTGTGGGCCGCCACATTCTCACAAGCCACCCTTTGTCCTCCCCCTCAGGATTTTGGCCGATTCCTAGACGTTAAAATTCTTGTTTAACGGAGGCTCCTGCGCATTTTGCATTTCTCCCTCCCCCCTTCCAGCACCCCTCAAGTCTAGCTCTCAAATATCAGCCCACCCCCACTTCTCCCCCACCCCTCCTCCAAAAAGAAGGGGAGGCGGAGGAGAAAAGAGGCTTCACCGCCACCACACATTCCAGCACACAGCGCCAGCCAGCTCCACCAGCCTCCGGATCAATAGTAACTTCAATTCTGTTCCTCCTCCTCTTCTTCTCTCCCCCCCACCCCCGGCCAGTAGATCCCAGCAAATCCCACCCACTTCTAGGCTGTTGTTGGGCTTTTTTATCATTAAAAAAAAACTTCCTTCTCCAATTAAAATCAACACAAATCGGATCGGGTTTTTTTTTCTTAAAACAAAAGGCTTATTTTAAAAAAAAGTTTATGAGATCAACTCTTAGGTCATAAAGAAACCGGCAAAACCCGCTATTTGTAACGAAATACGGTCTAAGAAAAATTACATACTGAACGAGAGCACCGGGCAGATTGGGACAGTTTGGAAGAACAAATATTGGGCACGCTAACCAGCCCTCTTCTTCAGGTATTCCTGAAGCCCTGAGGGGTGATGCGGGAAACCAGGGATGGTAGGGGTGGGGAGCCCGAAAATATACAGAGTGCCTTAAAAAAGGAAGAAAGGGAAGGAAGGAAATGTAAGACAGGACTGTTTTCCCACCCAAGAACTTTTTTCACTAGTCGGATTAAAAACAGAGACGGTCGGAGGATCCGAGATTGGAGGTGACTTTCTTTCTCCCAGTTCCCACCTAGTTCGTGTGTGTGGATGTGTGTGTGCCCGCGCGTCTGTCCCCCCCCCCCCTTCGCATGCAATTCTTTTGCTTCGCTCTTGACCAGGAACGATAAAATAAAGGGGAATCTCGGATTCACTCATCAGATTCCCAAACACACACACATACACATACACGCCAGATCTCGCAGCCCAGCCTGGCCGTAGCTACAAACCGTGGCATTTAAGGGGAGGGGGGCGGAGGAGAGAAGGAGGGAGGGCAGTGGGGGGGTCCGTACTTAC